CAGCGGGATCCAAGGACAAGGAGGAAGTCCTGGCCAAAAGCCGAAATGGTTCACCGCAGGGCTCGCTGAGACCCCAGAACTACGGTTTTCTATGTAAAACAAATTTTTATTTCTATGCCTTTCTTTCACACATATTTTGCACAGCATGCAGCCGGCGTCTGTGCGAATTAGAACGTTTCCACTCTATGATTTGCCAAACACCGTGCTAGGTTTTTATGCCATCATAGGTTTTTTATATATATATTTATTTTATTATTATGTATACAGTGTTCAGCCTGCATATATGCCTGCAGGCCAGAAGAGGGCACCACATCTCATTGTAGATGGCTGTGAGCCAACATGTAGTTGCTGGGAATTGAACTCAGGACCTCTGGAAGAGCAGCCAGTGCTCTTAACCTCTGAGCCATCTCCCCAGCCCCGCCATCATAGTTTTTTAATGATATAACGCACGTAAGGCTGCGTATTGCCAGTTTCTAGTCACATAGATGTGTTTTGTTCATTTTTGAGATTATTTATTAAGGACATTTCTCCCACCTTTTTCCTCCTGCCAGACCCTCCCAATTACTCATCCATGAACTCCTTCAAATTCAAAGAAAAATTTTCAGTGACTGCTGTTGCATGTATGTTTTTATTTATACAAATATTAGTAAATATGATGTGCATTGTGGTTTTTAATGCTATAGTTCACATTACAGTGTAGTCCCTTCTATGTGCCTTTACAATTTTTAATGTTCCAATAAAGCTGCATCTGGTTTCTTTGTTGTTGTTGTTAGCATTCTATTCTATTTCACTTTATTTGTTTCAGGAGGAAAAGGTTTATTTGACTTACACTTCGATCACTATTCACCATTGAAGGAGTCAGGACAGGAACTCAAATAGGGCAGGGATCTGGAGGCAGAAGCTGATGCAGAGGTCTGCTTACCTGCTCAGCATGCTTCCTTTTTTAAAAATTATTTTTGTATTTAAATTTTTTTTTCATTTTACATACCAACCACAGTTTCTTTTCCCTCCCCTCATCCCCTCCTCTGGCTCACCCCTAACTTCCCCTCCCCTATCCACACCTCAGAATAAGTAAGCCCTCCCAAAAGTAGTCAAGAGAGTCCAGCATGTCATTTAAGGCAGAACGAAGCCCCTCCCCCCTGCATCAAGGCTGAACAAGGTATCCCTCCATAGGGAATTGACTCCAAAAAGCCAGTTCATGCACTAGGGATAAATCCTGGTCCCACTGCTAGGGGCCCCACAAACTACCCAAGCCACACAACTGTCTCCCACATTCAGAGGGCCTAGTTTGGTCCCTTGAAGGTTCCCCAGCTGTCATTTCAAAGTCTGTGAGCTCCTCCTAGCTTGGATCAGCTACTTTGTGGGTTTCCCCATCATGATCGTGACCACTCCCCTTACTCATAAAATCCCTCCTCCCCCTCTTCATCTGGACCCCAGGAGCTCAGTGCAGTACTTGGCTGTGGATCTCTGCATCTGTTTCCATTGTTACTGGATGAAGGTTTATGAAGACAATTAGGGTCGTCACCAATCTGATTACAGTGGATGGCCAGTTCAGGCACCCTCTCCACTATTGCTAGGAGTCTTAGCTGGGGTCATCCTTGTGGATTCCTGGGAATTTCCCTAGCACCAGGTTTCTCCCTAACACCATGATGTCTCTCTCTCTCTCTCTCAAGATGTCTCTTTCCATGCCCTCCCTCTCTGTTCCTCCTCCATCTCGACCACCCTGTTTCCTCATCTTCTCTTCCCACCTCCTTCCCCCGCCCAACAATCTCAGTTTAAGCAGGACATCTTATCTGTTTTCTCCTCCTAGGGGGATCATGTCATTTGCAGCCCTGCTGACAAAAGCTAAGGGACATAAGCATGGAAAGTATCCAGCAAAGAGAGATTGAGTGAAGAGTGTGTGGGTAGCACACGAAAGGATTATTGTCCTTCACCAAGAAGAATGACGTCATCTCGTCTGCAGAAAGATGCATGCACCTGGAGAGAACCACACCAAGTGGATGACCAAGTCTCCGGATGACAGATATCCAGTGTCTCTCATTGGTGGAGCCTAGATTTGGCAGATCCATGAGACTGTTTTGTTCCTATCACATGAGAGTAGCTGATAAAATGTGTGGAGAAAAGTTGTCTAATGATGTCAAGGAGGGGCTTGCAGTATTGGGGAGTGAGGTAACCCAGACCCAGAAACACAAACATGGTATGTACTCACTCATGAGTGATATTAGATGTAAAGGATAACCAGGCTACCGTTCACAGTCCCAGACAGGCTTGGTAACAAGGAGGTGGGCCAAAGAGGGACACATGGATTTCCCTGGGAAGGGGAAACAGAAGAGATCTTCTGAGTAAACTGTGGGCC